GGCAGGCAGTATTGAGGGTGGCAGGACCTGAAGCTACTCTGATCCCATGGTGCTACAGGGGTCTGGAAGAGGCTAAGGAAAAGGGACTCCAACAGGAGGTGCTGGATGAGACAAAGTAGAAGATTAGATGCCAGAAATAGCCTTCTGAAGAAGGAGCAGGAAGGAGAAGCGCTTGGAAGGCAGCAGGTCTTCCTGCTAAGGAAGTTTTATTTTCATCTTCACTTAGGACAAAACTTCCTGCAGCACAAATGCTTTCTTCCTCTTCAGTAATAATTGGACCTTTGGGAAATTTCAGGAGACAACACAGAAATTATAGGGGAAAATAACCCTAGAGAACAGATTCAAAGAAACATTTTGAGAGGAAAAAGCATCATAAGTTTAGTAACACCGAAGGTTTTGGGGGGACTGGAGAAGACAGGTAGTGTGTGAACGACTTTTAACAGTTACTAGACATCAGTATACATTTCATACCTAGCAGAGTGCCATTAGAGGCACAGCAATAGAGAGCTACAAGCCTGGCCACAAATATATGGGACTCTATAAGCATTAAGTTTGCTATTAGGAATTACAGATGTTGAACTTATTGAGGGAAGTTTTCTATTGCAAGGAAAAAAAGCAAAAGCATAAGTCCTGAAGAGAAACATGTAGATATCCATACATACTTAGGATTTTTTATGCCTATACCATAATTCTGGGACAATTAACAGCAGTTAAGCTACATATAAGCATATCAAACTAAATTACATAGAATAAAAAAAAAAGCAGAGCAGCAAAATAAATTAGGAGTGAATTTTTTTTTTTTTTTTTTTTTTGTTTCCTGCACAAGACATATTTCAAAAGGGTACTGAATCATAGATAATTCAGCCATACTTTAAAACCCAACATAGACCATCTAACAGTCCAACCAAATACACTTGCAGGTCACCAGTTCTCAGAGCCAGTAAAACAAGTAACTTTTATTAAAATCCTTCAAACACACACATCCTTAAGCACTAAAACATAGAAGTCATGTGTCTATGCATAAGGAGCATTCACACCAACCCTAATGACTTCCAGGTCCTCCTAGAAAACAAATAGCAAAACAAAGAGAATAACAAATATTTACCTCCTGTACCACTGAAAAGGTCATCCTCTCTTTAGATACTGATTCTAAATATCCTCCTCAAAATAATTACTGAGGGCCTGAGCTAGTTCCTTGGGAAGATGAAGAAAGGCCCTCCATTTGCTCCAGCCGAGGCCCTAATTGCTTGCCTCTACTAATGAACTAATCTCAGACACCTGGAACTAGCAGGCTTCATGCCGGGCAGGCACAGCTCAGGTTACCTAAGAAATGCTCCAAACATATTCACAGAAATCACTAACCCTGCAGATGTGCAAATACTGCTTTTGTCATATTGCTGGAGAGGTGGACATGTGTTTGCGGTGCTGTAGCACATAAAACCCAAAGATGAATTCATTGTGTTGCACTAATCCCTTCCAAAGGCCAGGTGGGCATTTGGGGAGCCAGATAAGCGTGTTGATTATCCACATTACTCTTTGCATTAATCCACTTGTGACACAGAGTATCACAGACATTCACAGAATAAATATATAGATGGCTGGAAAATATGTATGTGAATGCCTGTTATCTGTAAAATGAAACCAAATCAGGAAGTTAGGCTAAAACTTTGGCTAAAACACTGTCTAAACTCTGTCTAAAGTCTAAACTCTGATGATGTCTAGCATTTTTAAAATTACAGTTAAAGAATGTGAAAGTCACCTGAGGATGTAAGCAAACCTCATTGTAAGCCTTATGAGATAAACTACTGCGCTTTTAACAATTTATAAAAAATTTTCCCAGGTAAACCATTTTCTGTAACCTCCAAAATTAAAGCAGGTGTCATGCAGCCTTCTACCTAATCATCCAGAAATTTCTTGTCCTTCCCTGGGCTGATAATGCTGGTAAACACATGTAAATTTTGTGTATGTGTCTGCTTTCATTTGAGAAGGGTGGAATGATATAAGCAAAACACAGTTCATCAGAAAAAAGCAAGAGAACAGGAACAGGCTCTCCTTTTGGTCTTTGACAAATTGCTAAAATGTATAGCTGGCTGGCCTTTAGGTATTGTTCACAAAGGTTGATTACTGTTTAAAAAAATTACCCTCATTTGTTCATATCCCTGAAAAATAGTATTTTTATTGCTTATATAGAAAAAAAATACCTAATCTTTTTATAAGAGAAAGAAGCAACATTTTCATGACTTATTTACATTTGGTATTCCAAAACATTGGTTTCCCCTTCTTCAGGATGCCAAATAAATAAATAATAGTAAAACTACTTATTTCAGCTTCTTAAAGTCAGCCACCTGAATATATTAGACTTTAGACATTGATTGAATACCTAATTTACAGCTTCACTGGACATAATTTTGCAGGCAGCATACAAGTGAAGTTCAGTTCTGAAAGTAAAAATGCAGACAAGGCTTGGAGCTCCGAGTCTATCAGCACTGAGGAAAGTCTAAGCAGAAATCTCTGTGCTCAGTATGAACCCCCAGTGATAGCTGAATTTCCAAGAAGATTTACTTCAGAAGTATATTTAAATAACACCGCTTAGTGCAAACTGCCAGAATGCACAGATGCACCCTTACTAGCTTGAAGAACATTTCCATAGGGAAAAATTATTAGTGTCTTCTATACTGTAGTAATTATCAGAACTGTGGGCTTAACTAATGAATTGTCATTAGTTAGTGTAAACACTGAAAGATAGCTTCAAAAACCCCTTAGACTGAAGAACTACCAGATATCATCTATTTAATAAATGTAGTGAATTTAACTTATGAGGTCTAGGAGAGCACCAGAAATAACAAACGCTTTGCTGATTTCACATATGGTAGTAAAACTGTGTGTGAAGAGGGGTCTCTGCAGTTTGGTAGGAGCATGGCTTCTTCCAAACTGCTTGACTAGCTCTCATGCTTTGGAAAAGTAGGCAAGAGCTGGTGGATACAGTTGCATCAGGGACAATGGTGCTGTCACCACTTTACCCGGAGGTGCAGGAAGCAATTTTGCCACACGAAGTAAAGGGCTTCTTGTGCCTTCACTGTTGAGCACTCACACAGCATTGAGGAAAGTGAATGGTAAATCCTCACAAAGGAATTTATCTACTTCTGTTCTCCACAGTGAAAATATTCAACACATGACCATCCATGTGTTCTTCACTTCTCCTTTCCAATTGCATGCACCCATAACAAACTTCACAAAAGATGTGTATACCTCAGAGATCAAAAAAGTCCCCTCTGAAAATAATTAGTGAAGCAAAGTAAAGAAAATAAGGCACTTAGGTATTTCAAGAAAGAATTCCTGAATGTTCTGTTATGTTCTTAAGGAAAGGGAATACACAGACCTGTTCAGATGTCTCCAGATATTTTCTGGAATATATAACACCATCCTGTCATCATACACTTAAAAATAAAAAATAGTTGGGGACTGTATTTAAAGAAAGGGAAATGGTTCATGACCCCAGACCAAGACACTTCTTGTAAAACCTCTTCTGTTTACTCATATTTTCTTTCTTTATTCAGTCACTTTTGACAAGGTCTCAGGTGATTTACCCTTCCCATGACCTTGTCTTTCCACTGAAGTGGCGACCCTCAGTATTAATGTGGGTTTTGAGGCTGAATTTTAAAGCATTTTTCCCAGTTTCAGCTGTTTCTGATGAGCATTCATTTTCGTAAAGGCCTCTTTCCTTGCATGAAGGGCAGACATTCTCGCGCCCCACACGCTGTGGATTCAGTCTGCAGCTGGTGGTGGGTTAGGGTAGGCCCAGGGTGCTCCTGCCTGCCTTCCTAACAGCCTGAGCTCTGCTTTGCCTCTCCCAGCGCCCAATGATGGCAGCCTCATCTGCCTCAGAATGGCAGCTTTTGGCACCACTAATTGTTACTGGGTTTAAAATAATAATAATAATACTAATAAAAAGCCATGTATATACAATATATACATGTACCATGTATATATTCCTGTGTTTATATATGTACTAGGCCTGGGTGAGGATAAGTAGTATCTGTAAATCTAAGATGGAAGTGTGAACTTCAACTGGATTTATATTGCAAACTGGCTTGGAAATCTCTTTCCTGCATTTGCTTTCTGTTGAGGTTCTAGGACCATATGCACAAAAAAATAGAAACTGGGGGAAAAAAAACGGGGCTTGGGAAGCAATCCTGTTCTGTGGAGTGATTGAATGCCGAGGTTCCTGCTGACTTCAGCAGGGCCAGGGTTTCAACCTTTGTCATGTCAGCTGAAGTTGTCATCTATTGACAAACAAGATGAAGGTTGACGTCTGCCTTTCTGCTCTGTCTCAGTCTTTTCATTCCTGCCTACCTTTCACTGAAGTGTTTGACACTGCCTACTGACAAAAGCAGTTATGACCAAAAAAAAAAAAAAAAAAGTCCTGAAGTGTGATCTTTCTTAACAATCTTTGGATTTCTAAATTATTTGTGAATACCGATGTTCAAAATGTTCCTGTTTTCCAGGCAGTTCTGGGAACCAAGCCCTCTGTCAAAACTTGCCTTACGGTTCCTCAGCAAATTTGGTACTGGGTAATAGGGACACTGCTCTTTGCTTTCAGCGCTCTAAGAAGATTTGATTTTAATTTGTTTGTATAGGATCATAAAGTGCATAGTCTAACACCATGTTATATATTCAAGATGTTAGAAAAATCTTGGTCTTTATAACTCTGCATGTGAAACTGTGTTTTCCTCTGTCAGGGAGAACTGACAGGTTGCCTGCCATCACCTCCTCTCCAGCAAAGACAGCAGCCCACAATGTCAGTGTGAAAACATCTGTTGAATGGATTTATTGACTAGGTCTTAGGTGTGCTTTTTTTTTTCTTTTTTTTTTTTTTTTTCTCTCCACACCGTTTATTACAGCCCTGACCTAATGAACTTAATTTGTTGACATGTTTCCCTCAGTGTCTTACTTGATCCCATCTCACATTTCTTTCTACTGTGCTGTTTTCTTGGCAACAGGAGTTCCTGGCGCATCGGCGTGTCCACCAGTTGCAAATCTACCAGGCTCAGATGGCTACAGTTGGCATGGTGGGATTAGATAAACATCGGCCAGTGTCCAGGACCCCACCTTCCCCCACTGACTCCACATTACCTCACCCAGCCATGGACCAGCCCGGCCAGCATGTCTACACTACTGGTAGGATTCCCTAAAGACTATTTTTAATAGGCAGGGCAAATGCGTTTGTTCATGTGGGATCAACAGATTTAAATGCCTTGAATAACTCCTGCAGCAATGCATTCAGTTCTAGCCCTACTGTTCCTTGGTTTTATGACGCTGTACTGGCATCAAGTCAACCAGTGCAGCTGATAAATCACAGGGTTAATATTCACACAGTCATAAACTATTATCATTGACTGGCTCTGGCAATATAGCAACAGGTGCATTTTTTGTGCCTTTAAGTCATTTATAGATTTTTCTTTCATTTCCCCATCCTCTGGCTCTTTTCTTCATGTTCTGTTTCGTAAAGAGACCACCAATAAGTTGAAGAAAGACCACCAGTACGTAGGAAAGCTGCAGTGTAATTCTCAATGTCTTCATTTGACAAGTCAGTCTACACTGCAAGGATGGTTTCCCTACAGAAAGAGAAAAACTGTAGCACTAACTGGAAAGTGATGTCGACTACAGCTTTGGTGTCTTTCAGCATTTGTGTGGAGTTTCTACAGAGTCAGGTTTTCTGGTCAGGCCCAATGTAATCCAATCACTTAGGGAGCACCTCCTATCTGTCTGGCCTAGACTGTCTGAAGCAGAGGGATTAGGACCTTCAGAATAATCAGTGAAAGGAAGAAAAATTATGACAAAAAAAGTCATTTTCATAGGTAACCTAACCTTGCAAGATATGCCATCTTTTTAAGAGCCTGCATATCAACACAACATGGTTATGTTATGTTAAAATATGGTTAGAATTAAAGTTTCACTTTGTGCACAAGAGAGGGGAAAATAGTACTTGTAGATACTGTTTATTCAGGTTTTTATTTTTGTAAGTAGTTATTCCTTTGCATTGGTTGGCAGAATTTGACATGCTTTAAAACCTAACAGTTCTTGAGGACGTGACCATGGACTGATACAGGATGGAGTCCTCAATGGGCACTGTATGTGTCTGTGTGACACAGTGTGTTTTTCTGCCCCTCAAATTAGAATGTGAACCTGGAAAGCAAAAGATTATTATCTTAAAGAAAAAACAAAACAAACAAACAAACAAAAACAAAATAAAAAGAGATGTCCTAAAAGCATTGGTGAATGGGTGCAAGGTGACATTCAAAAATGAAAGAGAGAATTTCTTCTGAACGTATACAATCAATTTAGGAATTTCACTTGTTGGATAAGAAACATTTGGACAGTACAGATAGAAACCTGCTAATTCACTTTCCATGAGTTTCTGCAAAAAGACCAGCTGTGTAGAGACAGTATTATTAGGCCAGGCCACTGTTTTTCTTGTGGTTCGTAGAATCCCCAAGACATTGTAAACTCATTCTGAAAGACTCACATAAGAGAACAAAAGCAAGCTCAGTGTGTATAGTCTTCAAAGTCCCGTTCAGAAATCTGCAGTTTCACTGGAAAAGTTGAATAGGGTTGCAAATTTAAAGGCTGCTGTTTGAGTCTGATTGCTAAAGTTTACTGACACCTCCTGTTATAAATCCCCAGATAGGGGAGCAGGGCCAGGCGGGTAACATATATCCAGGGATTTGTGGCATCACCAGTGGAACTGTTTAAATGAGAAAATGTGAATTTCAGATGGAGAGTAATAGAGGAAATGAAATGATGTAGGACAGACACTGAGTGCAGATGGTTTTGGGAAGTGCGACATACCAGGCACAAATGGCTCAATTCAGCAAAAGGGAGCCTGATGGGGTTCTACAATGGAAATACAGATAGTGCATATGCAGAGTCAAGGCATATTAAGATCAGGCAGGCAATTTAACCTTGTTCTTTTAGTAAAGCATTGCTGTATGAGCCACAGCACTGGAAAGAAAAAGAGAGAACCAATGTTGCTTAATTCCACCTGAGATTCTCAATACTTCATTGAGCTTCTTTCTCTAAATAGGAAACAACTTTTTGTTGAATCCTTGTTTTTTTCTTTTGCTAAGTCTCTTTTCTCCTTCCACCTCTTTTTCAAAATAGTCACCTCTTATTAAAATGAAAATCCTTCCATTCCCACACTCCCTATGACTTCATTCCTTTCATAGCAATTATGCTTCTCTGCTGTCTGTTCTTTCACTTCTTGTTTATATCCCCCATGTACTGGCTGAGGACGACATAGTTCAGTGCTATACCTGCTTCCAGGTATACATGTAGGTATGCCAGCCTCATGGTATACATGCCATGTATACCTCCTGGTTGAAAGACCAGTCTGCTAATCCAACAGTGCCTACAACTGCTGGATTCACAATGAAGCATTACTTTTCTTGGAAGAAAATCCCTTTCTCTAACACTCTTCAGACTTACAGACATATATAACCTTTATCAGTGCAGTTTCTGAGTATGTTGAAGATAGTTTTGTACTATAAGGGTATCATTTTTGGATTGACATTGCACAGAGGCCTTGCAACACCAATACAGTTTCTGTGAATAGTTATATATATAAAGTATCAACACATGATGTAGTATGGTATGATATGGTACGATATTTTACAGAATAGCTTCATTTGTGAATCATTTCTCCTGAGTCTGGATGGTGTCCTAGCACATATTCTTTACTCAGTGGAAAAAAAGAAAAGGAGACAGAGTTTTTATCTATTATTTTACAGCCTTTCCTAATTGCATTGGGATGAAAGCCCTGAGAAACCTGGACTGGTCACAGCGCTGACCTGCTTTGAGCACAGGGTTGGACTAGGGACCTCTTCCAGTCTGAGCTATGGTTCTATGATTTGCTCCCTTAAGAGAGCACGAAATGAAACCAGCCATTACCTACAGCAATTGCTACACTACCCTTTTTAAAACTGCAAAGAAGGACTGGGTGGGTAGAAAGGGTGAAAATTCTCTTATATCACAAAGTGAGGTCAAATTCTGGTCTTAGAAATTAAAATAAAAACACCTCCATGATTTGAATTATTTCATATTGCATTTTTTCCTATTTAAGGACAAATATGCTTAGAAGAGTAAAAAAGGTAAAAGGAAAACTGCTGTTGCAAAACATTACACCAGCATCAAAATAAGCCTGTATTGTTATTAGTTATGAGAGAAAATGTTCTTGGCCAAATATCTGAAGAGAATCAGAAAGGTGATGGTTGTGAGAGATGTGTACAATATATATGCAGTATGTGCGCAAATAGTAAGTTAAAGATGGAAAAAATATAAAAGGTTCTTGATGCTCACCTAGATGATTTAAACAATATTTGATATTACTTAGTTCAGATTATTCTTCTGAATAGCTAATTAGATGTTCTTCCCTTGGATTTTCTTATTGATACTACAGTTCTCCAGGATTTTTTACTTTCTTCAAAGCATTCTGTTAGCCAACAAATTTTCAGGTCTCCTGATCTCCCCTTTGTTCAGAATATTATTAAAAGTTGACCCAAATAAAGAATTTTGGTGAAAAATGAGTATTTGGGCTTCCTCACTAGGGAGATCTTGATTTTTCTAACTTAATGCAAATTCAATTTATTTTGTCCTGTGTCCTCTATCATAATATGGTTCAGTGGTGCCACCATTCCAGTCTGTCATCAGGGCCACATTCTGACCTCAATAGTATTGGTGTAAATCCAGAATAAATCCATCAGTCTCAGTGGAGCTGCTTAAATTTACACAAGGAATCTGAGAGCAGAATCTGGCTGTAGGCATTTTTTCTAGAGAGACAGAATAACCATCTTTTATTAATATTTCACAGCAGTCTGCAATTGAAAACAGTTGTCTCTCCCTCTCTCTCTCTTTCTTTTGTGGGGGTGGGGAGATTATTGGCTGAATCCTGTTAGGGAAATCCTACAGGCTATTTTTAGCAGTAAGCTCTACTGCTGCATTGTGGTATTGTACCAAGCACATGTGCTGTATGACCAGCAGCCATACATCAGAATTACTTGCACATCCTAAATCAATTTAGATGCTTGCAATAAATGAAAACATATATCTCAGTCTTTTCTTAAGTCAAATAATCTTGTTTAGAAATAATTTCTTGCACTTTCTGGTGTGAATATCTTGCTATTTAAAAGTTTGGAATATAAGTTTCTACCATGCAATACTGACCTGACCAGTTAAACTGATTTTTCATTTGGACAAGGTAATTCATGTACAACAAAATTACATTTTCATTTATTTTCTATTTGGGTAAAAATATTAATGCATTAAGGAAGGGATGCCTATAACTGTCTATGTCTATGTCTATGTCTATGTCTATGTCTATGTCTATGTCCATGTCTATGTCTATATCTATGTCTATGTCTGTCTATGTCTGTCTATATCTGTCTATATCTATCTGTCTATATCTATATCATCTATATCATCTATATATATATCTATATCTACAGATCTATATCTATATCTAATCTATCATCTATATCATCTATATCTATATCATCTATACCTATACCTATATCATCTAATCTATATCTATGTCTATCTTCCATCTATCTATACCTATATCATATATGTATACCTATATCTATATCATCTTAAGCATTCTGCATTTCACTTCAAAACCGCTGTTTAGTTTCACCCCTGATATAGTATTGAAAAAGTGTCATTATTACATAATTTCTTGATTCTGTATAATACTAACATAATAAAACATACATTTTTTATTTTTATTAACCACAGTTTGGACTATGCAAATCTAAGTGTATAAGGAACACTCAGAATAATATGATAGCTGAAAGAGTGGCAGACAAGAGATACTTTCAACTTTGAACTACTCTTGTCAACATTTAACAACAAGTGTTTCCATCAAAGTCCATTGCATATAAGTGCCTGCTTTGCCTAAGTGTTTCTGGAAATCCTAATGCATGTCCATTTAGCATCTAAATATCTCCCCTGTTGGTAAGGGGGATGGGAGGGAAGGTTTTCTTAGTTAATATTATAAAGACCACTGCCAATTGTAAAATCTGGGTATGCAATAGACAGTAGAAGTTAAAGCTCTGGGTGCCAAGAAAAGGAAAGCTAGATATGTAAACATGCATCTGTTTGCATGCACACTTGGTGTTTCAAATAACTTATAAGACCTGATGATAGAGCAGCAAAGCTTATAAACTGTGTGGCGCAAATAACTGCAGAGAAAAGAAATTATTAACTGCTTTGGCAATGCCAGCAGAGATTTTAAGCCGCATTAGTTTATTAGTTCCAGATTTTCACTGGTTCTTTTTTATTCTTTAAAAGAAAACAAACCAAAAAAATAAGTACAAGAATTCATTGCCAATGCACTATTTTGTTTGTTGGATAACCGTTTAGCATAAAACCAGTCATGCTACATGTAGGTATTATTTTTGTATTCTCCTTATGCTAAACATGATTGTCATATTATCATTTTGACTTAAATAGCGAGATCCCAAAGGATCAGTTCTAAAGTACATGAGCTAAGTAATATGACAGCATAAATATTTCTAGAGCAGCATAATTTAAAAATTCTGGCTTCTAACTGAATTTTCTCAGAACCTTAACTTTGCATTACCCACAATGTATACAGGCTCCTATTCAGCAGAATTTTTAAACACTTTAATAAAGTTCAATATCCATTCAAGAACTTTGCTGAATAAGGGTGGTATTGAGCATGTTGTTGAATCTGGACTTTAATTTTGTATTTTCTTCACTGGCTGACTTTTCAGTAGCAGGCTAAAACAATTTTCCCAGAACTGTGTTGGCATCCCAGCAGTGATGGCACATAAGAAAGAAGTTTTGAGTGCCAAGTTTTGCAGCTTGAAGAAGTTGTTGATTTGAGTCCTTTTCAATTGTAAGGGGAAGAAAAATCCAAATGTTTCCCAAATGAAAATGGTTCACGGGCGTATTTTTTGTTCCAGACATTTCTGAGGGACATGCAAACAATAAGTAAATAAATAGCATCATTTTTCAGTGTCCTAGACTTTGTTTAAGAGCCTTGAAAACTGAAGGTTAGTTTTCAAGCCTACTCTCTATAATTTCTCTCTTGCTCTTAACACACAGCTACAGAGCAATGTGATATTGATACCTCTGCGGTATAAAGTTGTTCTGTCCTTGGATAAATGAGCATAGAAAATTCCAAAGGAACTGTGCATTGCAGTCTAACAACAGGATTTGGTCTTAATTGTGTAGTGAGTGGAAGTTTTCTTTTTAATGAAAAATGACTCTGGCTGCCACTGTTGCATCTCTCTGAAATTTCCACCTGATATGCTTTTGACTTAATATAGTATCAGTTAAGCAGTACAAATACAGAGTAGCACTGTCATTGTAAAAATTATTTTACAAGTTGTTTTTCTGAGTGGTTTTCCTTAGACTGCTATGAATAAATAATACTTTCTTGTACAGAGGTTGATTAACAACTTTAACTGGCTTTATCCACTAAATAAAGAGAAAATAACTGATTCAGTAACATTACTCATTTTTTCTAGCCATAAAAGATTTAACAAGGCACCACCCAATTTCCTTTCTTCTTGACAGTTGTGTTTTTAGTATAGTTTCTTGAACACTATTTTTATATGTATGTACACTATACTATACTATGACAGATACAACTTTTAAGTCAAAATTCACAGTCTCTCAAAGAAAATAGCATTTAAGATCCAGAATTTTCATCTTTCTCCAACTGACAAATAAAATCTAGATGTGCTAGAGTATGCGTGACATGAGACTATATAACTTGCATTTGTTTTACTCACTGTTTCTTATTGTGTTGTCTTTGTACTGAAGGTGTTGTATATGACAGTCTGATGCTGAAGCACCAGTGTATGTGTGGCAACTACGCTAATCACCCCGAGCATGCTGGAAGGATCCAAAGCATCTGGTCGAGGCTGCAAGAAACTGGGTTGCTAAACAAGTGTGAGGTAATAAAAGATAAAGACCAGATACTTGACTTTTTAAAGTAAATGGAAAAATTATTAAGTCCTAAATCTGTCTTAATTCTGTAAGAATAGAGTGAATTAACATCAAATTATTTGGATTTATCTGGTGATATTAAAATAGCACATTTTCAGAAAGCACACTTTCCAAGCAGAAAACAAATAATTTGCGCCATAGAAGTCATATCCATATGCATAAAAACCTAAAACTCAGGCATAACCCTGTTCCTCACCTTGATATAGAAATTTAGAATGACAGAATCAAATGGCAACTGCAGAACTTTCAATAGAACAGTCCCCGATTTCTTGAAGCAACTAAAAATTTTACTTATGTAGTAGTATAGAGCACTGCTTGTTTACATGTACTTTCTATCACTCCATAAGCACATTGAATCTTGTCTTATTTCAGGCTACAAACTGTTTTCAAAAGCATTGTAATTTTCCTGGAATACAGTGGATGCCAAGTCAAAAAAAAACCAAAGCACTCAAGTGCAATCTTCTAGATAACATCAAAGCAACAGCAAAGATTTCTTCTATTTTGATTTCCCTCAAAAAATCATGTATTAAAATATCATGCTTAAAGCAAACATGGGCTCTCAGGTTAATATATGTCTTGGGTTACTGAAAAACAACTTTTCCTACCACTCACTGCTTCCTGCCAGTTGTGCAGCACTGTCAACTTCTTCAGAAGCCTGTAGCAAATGAGGGTGCTTATGGCACTGCAGCACAAGTCAACAAAGTTCAACAGAAGTCTGCTTACGTTTTCAGGATCTCCAAATTGTCAGGATTCATATACTCTCTTTTTGTTTTTGATATTTATTTATCTATCTATTTATTTATTTTGAGTTTTTTTTTTTTAGTTACTTTTCTTTAAATACTTAGGTTTTTACAAACCCAAAGGAACAGGTATAATAGCTCCCCCCCCCCCACCCCCTTTTTTTTTTTTTTAGTTATTAGTGGCTGTACACAAAGAGTATTTTGCCTAGTATACTGGGCAGGGAGACATTGCAAGGACTAGAAAAGGATTTGTTGTATACAATCATTTAACTAGGTGGCAGCACTCTAACAGGCTACTGTTGTTCTTTTTTAGCTTGGATAATTTTTTTTAATCTTCAAGAAGACATTCTTTCAGCAAGGTCCTTAAGGCCACATATCACACAAGTGGTTTCATTGACGGGATCACATACTTGAATAAGTTAAACACCCAGTTGAGTGCTTTACTAAATGAAAGCCTAGATACCTTATTGACTCAGGACCCATACTATCAGAAAAGACAAAAGAGGGCAAACAGGTAAAATGCAATGTGCCACTATGTATTATTTTCTTTGTCAATAAACAGATTTTGCTGAATAATAAATTGTATAGGTCTGGAAAAGGTAAATTGGTAACGTAGTATAGATTAGTTCTGAAGTGCAGGCTAGTTTCTTGGAAGACTTACGGCTTTCCCTTGCAATTCTGCAATTTCAAAAATTGAATTATAGCCCATCAGGTCTTACAAAATCCAGAGAATGGGCAGAAACGAAATAAATAATTTCATGTTGAATGGCATTCAGTTGATTTTGACTCCCATTGTGTGCTTTGAAATGAAGCTGGAATGTGAAATGAGCTGTCAAAATGTAAACTGTGATGATAAAATCTTGGGAACTTCTGTGTGAAGTTCATGCATAGAACTGGTGTTTATCTTGATCCTGTTATGTAGTGAAAGGCAGGATTATATCTGATGATGTAATCCATCCTTTGCTTCACTGAATTCTCTAGCATTTGCTTGATATCAAGCACATCCTTAAATCTGCTCACTTTTAAAAATATAGAAGGGTTGAAGCAATTTGATTCAACAGTACTTGGATTTTTGAGAAAAGTTATTCAGCTGAATATGTGACTCATGTCACTAAAGGAGTGGTTATTGCATTATTCAAGAAATAGTGAGTTAATACCATTAAACTATGTTCTGGAATACACCAAGTTGAGGCTGCAGAGCCAAAGCATCACTTGAACTGCACTGTCTCTTTTCCTGACTTCCGAATACTCCCTCATGGACACTAGTATTTCTTAATATAATTTCTCAATATAGTTTCCCAGAGTTTCTGTCAGAAGGAGTGCGGGGATGGGGGGACGTTTTACCACATGCAGTGTCTCATGCACCAAGTCTGAAGGACAGCTTAGGAACAGCAACCTGCAACAGCCAGTCAGCAAACTCTCTGCAGCAACTGTAAACTTTTTTTTTTTTTTTTAATTAAAAAAGTATCCCACAAATGGACTGCAGTTCCACTTTTGCCTGATGAGAAGTTCCAGGATCAAATCCAGCTCAGTCAGGTGTAGCACAGATCTCTTACCTTGCAACATGTGCATCCTTAGTCACAGAAGTGTGCTGGGGAGGGGCCCTGCCTATTTTCTTATTCTAGCAAGAAACCTTTGCATAAATGAAAAATCTATGTCTATATGATCATTTTTATCTCTGTCAGGGAGCAAAACATGGTCTCTAAACCGTGTAACGTGGATTAACCCCTCTCATGCACCTCATATCTCTGGTCCTGGAGAGATGAAGAGCACAGAGAACCCAGGCATTGCCAGCTGAGCATGGGATAATGGAAGTCATACATACTGGGCTGACACTGGACTCATTGAAGTTAATAGATTAATCTAGATAGGTTAATATAAACTTAACCCACTAACTGTATATATTGCTCACATTGCCCTCATATAAAGCAAATTTAAAATATAGCTTGGTAAAATCAAAAAACATTTGACTAGGCTATTCAAAACTGTATCTTCACTACAAAATAAAATGTGCCGGGGACTGTTCTTCACCACTGTGGCCAACTGGCATAGAAAAGCCCATGTTCATACTATCAGGATTGCTCCCTGGCCCATGCCAGCGCCCCAGCCATGTCTGCAAGGTTTTTGGGAGAGTGTTAGTTGCTGCTCTGCCAAAACGGTGTGAAGGAACACTTTAGCAATTTAATAGTACAGATGATTGTGTTCCTCTGCCTGGGAATGTTTCCTGGCACTGCTTAATTTACTGCTGCATATATAGCCAAAAGGACCTGTTTCTCCAGACTGTATTTTGTCTTCCTAGCCATAGATATTTGAGCTCTAGAATTATTCAAACAATGTTAACAGGATTCTTGCTAAATCAAGAATCAAGTTCTAGCTTTTGGAATATTTTATTTTATTATTTTTGTTTTGTTTTGTTTTAAATACTGTAATTTTTCCAAATGGATAGATTACTTTCCCCATTGTTTTTCCCAAGTTGAAAGAGAAAAACATTCAGATCACAGCCAGCCCTGGAGAGTGGGACCTGAGACACCAGTCCCTTACTGAGCCCAGGGCAAGAAGGTGCAGTCATTACCCTCTGTTCTGGACTTTTTTGTAGTCTTAGTATTTAAGAAATGTATTGGGAAAGTACAGTTTGGCTATAATATTTTTTCATTAGGTTAGCAGTGTTGTGTATGTTTCTGAGATATCTGTTCTGTGTTTGGTAAAAGTTGACCAATGCAGAACAGACAGCTGTGAAATGCAGCCCTAGAACAGGGCAGCTAAAAAGACTGGCATAAAAACAGCCATTAATTATTATTAGTAGTATTATTATGGAATTTTCTCTTTGTAAAGAACAATGCATAGCTGCCTTACCTTTGGGACAAAAGAAAGACTGAGTTATGTTTTGGTAGTGGTGTCTGCTTTCCACTTGTTCTATGGAGAGGAAGTATTTACCTAGCTCCTGTGGGGCCATAATTTACACGCACATGACTGGTATTAGGTTATACTGATCAACACAGTTTTAGAAAGGAGAGGAGAGGAGAGGAGAGGCGAGGAGAGGAAGAGGAGAGGATAGGGAGAGGAGAGAGAGGAGAGGGAGGAGAGGAGAGGAGAGGAGCATAGAGTAGGAGGAGATATAGTGAGAGGATCGGGAGGAGATGGCTCGGAGAGCGGCTTCGCCGCTCTCCTTCTCTTCTCCTCTGCTCTGCGTGCGCTCCCCCTCCCCTCCCCCCCCGCACCCCCCCCCCCCCCCCTCACGACCAACTACCCTCGCCCTCCCATCCCCTCCCCGCGCCCTCACACCTCCCTCCCCCCGGCCCCTCCCCTCCCCTCTAGAAAAGAAAAGAAAAGAAAGAAAAGAAAAGAAAAGAAAAGAAAAGAAAGAAAAGAAAAGAAAAGAAAGAAAAGAAAAGAAAGAAAAGAAAAGAAAGAAAGAAAGAAAAGAAAAGAAAAGAAAAGAAAAGAAAAGAAAAGAAAAGAAAAGAAAAGAAAGAAAAGAGAAGAAAAGTAGACAAGGTCCCACTTCATGCTCTCACCTCTCCTTCCTATAGGGACTGTGGTCCAGCAATATTTTCCTTTTCAGCGTAGAATTTGATATGAATATGGGTAATTTTACACCTTCTGCTGTCCACATCTCATGGACCAAAGGGGACAGAATGAAAGAATTAAAAGTTTTACAAACCTTTGAGTCTGCCAGATCACATGGACCAAAAAAAATATAAAAAAAATTCATCCCCTGAGCCTCAGTTTACCACCAAAGAAGAAATATCACAGGAAAGTCTATAAAGACACTTTAAGAGCAAAAACCTTTGCAGTGTTAAACATACTCAGGCTAGGCACTGGAAGCCCAAAACACATTAAGATAATAACTGTGTGTGTATGAATGATATACCTGCAATTTCCTCATAAAGAAGAGAGGTAGCGATGAGAATGAGATGAGAATGAGATGAGAGATTAGAAGAATGAGAGAGAAGAGAGAGAGTGAACTGACTGGCAAAATATCCATGTTATCTCTGTGTATTTTTTTCAAAATAAGAGAGAATTTAACAATTATGAGAAATCCCAGAAAAGTAAGAAACACTCTGAAGACCTTCTTTACAAACTGAGTAACCTGAGACAATCTCTGAGACACTGTCTCTATACAAATAGCTGCAGTAAAGGCAATGGTCATCTTATATTGAGAGACCTGAGTGAGAAATATTGCTTAAGCTATGTCAACAATTCCTGTTAGTTTAGCAGAGAGAAATAGGCGGTGTCACCTTTGTCGTTTTGAATCTCTGACTATGCAAGAGTTTAGTCTGCTGAAAGTCTAACCAAAATCCCTAGGTTAACAGAGGTTATCTATGTGAAACTTTAATGATCTATTTTAATCAGGAGACCAGACTAGACAGTCCTCTTTGACCTTACATTCTATGAAAGGTGAAAACATTTTCCTGTTGTGGGGAGAATAGCTTTCTGTTTCTGGACTGTTTTTTTGAAGTGCTTAGGTGCATTTTGCTCTCCTGAGATGTGCAAATGTGTGTGCTGATGAGGGGACCTGCATATGGCAGAGGTGGGAGCCAACACACAGATTGCCATGTACATTAGAAAAGAATGACTTGCCTTTCTACTATGGATGTATGACCAAACAAGCCCTTTCAAGTTCCCCAAATGAAACAAATATGGTCCAAAAGTTCTCCTATGCTATTTCACCTTTTTCATCAGCTTTATGTCATTTTTCTGCTTTCTAATACACTTTAGTCTTTTGATGTTACTAAGGGCAAAGAAAATGAAAAAGGACATATTAAAATAAAAAAGATGTGGATAAAAATGTACGTATAAAGTTATACAGATGCATATGTTACGTTGTCTAATAGCTCATGCCAGCAAGAGACAGAAACTTGCTTTACATAACTGAAGTTATATGATTCCAGACTCTGGTAATAGACTTATGGCATGTACTTTTATAAATCAGCTAAATCCGGACATCATTGTGTAAGAATAATTGTTCTTACTATTACAGGGCATTTTAGTATCACTTTTTGTGTGTGTGTTTGTGTGTGTGGAAACTTAGATAGTTAGAATTTTAATTCTATTCAAAATGGATTGACCTGCAGAGATACAGAAAAGGTGGGATGAAAGGAACAATAAATGAGGAGGTGTGAATGCAGAAACAGTGCAGATGTGCACTCTTTACATTTCCCTTTCCTCCTGCCATTTACTGTGTGAATGAAACGTGCTTGCTAATGCTCAATGTTGTAGCTGGAGAAGCCTTGGAGAAAGGGCAGCTTGGCTGTTGGCTGCACCTTGAGGACCTTACTGTCAGGAGTAGCCTGAAGTAGGCTGTTAGATGCTATTTGGTTTCTTCAACAAGCTTTTTTCTACACAGCCTCTTTCTTCCTAGAGAATCTGGCTAGTAATATTGGGTAACAGGGGGCTCCTCAGCAAAATACTCTCCACTCTGGTTCATTCTGGGGTTCATTTAGAGACCCTACCCAGTTAGTGTAGAACTATAGAATACCACAGAACTCCCCGTTATAAGAATGGTGTCTGGCTGTGGGTCTTCTCGTAGTTAAAATGGTACAGCATTTAACAGCACTTAAAAAGAGATAGACAGTTAACTGTCTTAGGCATGTCCTATAGAGCTTTTGTGTAACTTGTAGAAAATATATGACCAGAGTATATGTCATATAAATATATGACTCAAGGTTTTTTGATGTCACCTTCATAAAATACCCCTATACTTTTCTTACACATTTGTTTTAGCTGTCCTAGACACTAACCCTCCTTCCCTGTTTTGCTGTTGGAAGCTGGATAAAGATTTTAAGCAGCTGATCAGAAACATAGACATTAATGAGAATGGATGAATGAATAAATGTTACCAGTCACCTCGCCTGTGAAGAAAAATACTTCATCTGACCCAGAAGAACTATTATAGAGTGCACTGACTCCATGAAGTAACATAATGTGCTGATTTTGATTGTGCAACTGTGTGTTAAAAGGATGTGAGTGCACTGCTACAAATTCTCATGTGAGACTGGGAGAGGCCTGAAGAAAGTAGTGATGAAAAAAGGGTTTATTAAGTCATTTAGTTCTTGGATCATTCCTTAAAATGTTTTTTCCATTGTTGTATTCAGTCCAGTTCTAAACATTACAAGAAATAGGGCTTCCACCATTTCCCTGGAGGGGAGCTTGTTCCCAGTCATCTAGATCTAACTCTTAGGACATTTTGCCTGATTATTTAGAAAAAATTGCTACTGCCTAACTCAGTATAAACTGTGCTTGGGTCTCTCCTAACATATCACAGAATCACAGAATCACAGAATTTCTAGGTTGGAAGAGACCTCAAGATCATCGAGTCCAACCTCTAACCTAACTCTAACAGTCCCCACTAAACCATATCCCTAAGCTCTACATCTAAACGTCTTTTGAAGACTTCCAGGGATGGTGACTCCACCACCTCCCTGGGCAGCCCGTTCCAGTGCCTAACAACCCTTTCAGTAAAGAAATTCTTCCTAACATCCAACCTAAAACTCCCCTGGCGTAACTTTAGCCCATTCCCCCTCGTCCTGTCACCAGGCACATGGGAGAACAGGCCAACCCCCACCTCGCTACAGCCTCCTTTAATGTACTTATACAGAGCAATAAGGTCACCCCTGAGCCTCCTCTTCTCCAGGCTGAACAAGCCCAGCTCCTTCAGCCGCTCCTCATAGGACTTGCTCTCCAGGCCCCTCACCAGCTTCGTCACCCTTCTTTGGAAAGAAGGGCGACATCCCCACACCCATCCCCCAGAAGCTCTTTTTGTCCTCACATTCTCTTTAATATTTATGAAATTGCTTTTTTCTCCTAGTGAAGAGGTTGCTGCTTCTGGATGTGCATGAGTAGGTGATGGACATAATAAGAATGACAACTTAAACTCTAAAAAAACTAGATGTTAACAATATTTCTGTAACAGGTTAATCAGTCTAGTAAAACTAGGTCAGTCTATTTAGATAACTCCTGTACCTGTTTATTTGTAGACCTTTACAGTCAGACGGATCCACAGTCAAACCTGTGAGAGGTTTTGCCCCAGATGTTCATAATGACCAGCTCTGCAAACAGAGTCTAAGACGTTAAAAACAGTCCATTTTCTCTTTGTGTTATGAACAGGAAAGATGATCTTGGGACCTGAACTTTGTTGACAGTGCTGTTTATTATGCCCAAACCTGAACAAAATCTGCTTCATGTTGCTGTGTTTGCAAAAGCACTAACACAGGCAGAGAAGTAAATATTTCCATGACACTCTGTAACTCCTAATACATACAAGGAACAGACCTGGTTAATAAGAAAGTTTTAGTTTTCTCTTTTCTTCCTTCTTTCCTATCTGCCTTATTTATCTAAACTGATTAAATTTATAGAATTGATTTATAGAAATAGTCCCTTTTTAACACCGATTTAAGTGGGGAGAGTACAAGCTGGTGAAACAGTTAAAGAGACAAACTCCACATGCAAAAACATAATAAAGCAAGTGAGTCAGTATCTGCAACAGAAAAAATGATCCTGGGAGATCAAACATATTCAAAAAAAAAAAAAAAAAAAAAAAGATATGGAAATATTTTATTGAAGAATTGAAGAGCTTACACTTTAATTTTCTTCCTCTCTCTGGCTCTCCTCACTGTAATCATGCTCTCCCAGCAGTGTAAATTGCAGGTATTTTAATAACACAAAAAACATTAATCCATACTCAGAACACATCTGCAGATTACAAGTGTGAATAAAGTTTTGTTTTTTAAACTAGGAATTTTCTAGTCAACTCTCTGACTTAAAAAATATCTTACTTTTGGTTCACATTTCATAAAATAATGTAGAAAAAGTCAGAGTCTTTTCTTTCCCTTGTATGTGAAACCCTGTATTAAGTTAACTCTGCTAAGACTTAAGAGAAGCATTTGTGATAAACCACACACGCATTTGTTTTTCATATAGCATTACTTTAATAAACAAATCAGTGTCACATTCCTGCATGACGCAATTTCAACCCATTATTAATCATACTAAATGTTATTTTGGACCTTTACTTTTTTTTTTTTTTTTTTTCCCTAAATATTGTCAGTGGAATATTGTAGGCCTCTGCTGTTTTCTTTCAGCGAATTCGAGGTCGAAAAGCCAGTCTGGAGGAAATACAGCTGGTTCACTCTGAACATCATTCACTGCTGTATGGCACCAGCCCCCTGAACAGACAGAAGCTGGACCCCAGGAAACTCCTAGGTCTGTACAGGCCTCTATTCTACTGAGAACAGCACATTCCAGCACTGTCATTAGTCATAGCTGGTGTCAGTTTAAAATACTTGGCAAGCAGTGTGACAAAAATTCACTTTTTCCAAATGCATTGCTGTGTGGAAGGAGAATGTTACAATGGAAGCCAAATATAGATTAGCAAAATGCACAGAGTGGAAAGCAGCAATAGAAGTTTCTCCTCATTTGTTTCTAAACCATCGAAGTGTTAACCCATTATTGTAATTTGCTCTCCATCAGAGGTTGATGGCAATTTTGAACACGGTGGTCTTTGATCTCCTTGTGTTCTTTGCTTTGAAAATGGGAGTTTAAGATACACTTGCTTGTCAGAATTGCTTATTTGTTGTTCTCATTTGCTTTATTTCAATGATTTCAACCTTGCTGATTGCAGATACCATGTCTGAGTCTTGCTACCAAGTGAACTTTATTTTAATGCTTTGCCATTATGCAGAATACAATATCTTTCTGAATAACCAGGAAAAGACATTAAAATATTAAATGGACCCATGGATATACAGAATGGCATAAAACTGACAAGATTTTCATATCAAATATCTTCATACACAGCCAAAGTGTATGTACATTCACTTTCATAGTAGAAAAGCAGGGTTAAATTGAGCTCTGTCATGACTGGAGCATGAAGCAGAGCATCTTGTCACACCTGCTACAGAGGATTTGAAATGAAACACAAATAGTGCATTTTAGAAATAATGTGTGAGTGAAATCTTGCCCCTAAATCCCAGCACACTAGATGGAACACACATTCTCAGCTATTTTTATAACACTTTAAGATATAGAGATTTTCCTAAATGTAATAAAACCCAACCCAAACAAAAACAATACTAGCCATCAAAAGAAATTGCTGTCACAGTTCTGGTAATACATAGCAATTATCTTGCTTTAGAAAGAGTTCCTTCTATAATGCATACTGTTGCTTCAGTGAGTCATAAAAGTAGATAAGAAAAATGTCTTGATCACAGTGGTATCTAAGTTTATGCACCTTCTTCAAGCTGAAATATGTTAGATTCTCAGAAGATGGAGTTTTCAAAGTAGGAAATCCTCATCTTTATTTTTTTTTAAAGAAAAATCACTAAATTCCTGCAACATTAAAAACTGGAAATATTTTGATTTGGGATTATCAACATTGTCAAAATATTCCATTTTGATGAAGTCCAGCATTTCATTTAGATTGTGATGGTTTTGATTCATTTCATTTTAACTTCTACATTATTTAATATAACATACATTTATATGAAATCTTGTTCCCATTTTGGATCTCAGTGCTTGACTAGCATATGGGATGCAGTGTGTAGTATCAGTAATGAGGTGAAAAAAATAATGTACCCATATATTCTTGCTATGTTTCTGCCTGTGTATAAAGAATGCAGAAGACTTTGTTTACCTAGTCTTAGAAAACCATTTATTTGCCCACTGTTCTTTACTCAACACTCCTTGCCTTTTTCATTTGGCACTCAGTCCAAAACATTTACTCTCTGAGTTTATATCAAAATCACACTCCTAGCATATATTCTGAGTGTATCCTTGGCTTAATGCCCTCGTCTGTCTCTGTAGGATGTTTTCTTGCTGCCTCTCGCATGGCCTTTTACTGAGACAACAGTCAACGAAATACCCTTCCCACATGCTTTTGCATGTGCCTTTTTTTTTTTTTTTTTTTTTTTTTCTGTTGGCTGGAAGCTCTGATCATTTGAGCTTTCATACTCTTGTATAAAAGAACTTAATTATCTTTTACATTTTTCCAAAATGCAGTGTGACTGTTCCACCTTTCATTGTCCCCAGTTCTGTGAGGTTGAACCTAACCAATGCTGACATTAAAATTAACATCTTGGTATAGCATAAAAATTCAAAATGATGTGTAGCAAAGGAGAAAAATCTAAAGGAAATGTTTCTCATAAAAATTGTCATCAATAACATCATCTCATAAAACAGTCCTATTTTCAGTGGAAGTTTTCTTTCTTTCTTTCTTTCTTTCTTTCTTTCTTTCTTTCTTTCTTTCTTTCTTTCTTTCTTTCTTTCTTTCTTTCTTTCTTCTTTCTTTCTTCTTCTTTCTTTCTTTCTTTCTTTCTTTCTTTCTTTCTTTCTTTCTTTCTTTCTTTCTTTCTTTCTTTCTTTCTTTCTTTCTTTCTTTCTTTCTTTCTTTCTTTCTTTCTTTCTTTCTTTTTCTTCTTTTTTTCCTGCAGAAATTGTTTCATCAGATTGTGGCTTTGCATCTTAATGAAAAGAGTTTCATTCCTTCCCTTACTCTTCTACCTACCCAAAAAGACAGAGGCACACTTTGTTCTCCACTCTTAAGCCTCAGAACAGTGTTTGTTCCTTTTTTTGCTGTTCAGAAGACTACATCTGCATTGTCTGAAGGTCTTTCCTTGCTAACAAGCAGTTTCTGTATCTTTCAAACAGAAAAGAAGCACTTGAAGGAATGAAATTAAGTACAACTAAATCTAGAAATCTGTCAATAAAAGTTTATTTCCCTGTTCAGGTAACCTACTTTGTTCTGGAAGGGTGCAAAGCAAAATGGTTGTGAACTACTGAAATCAGTGAGAATTATGCACAGAGATATTGTGAATATTCTTAATGCTTTCAGAGTATAAACTAGCTTGAACTCTTGGCATGATTTTCCCCAAAACAGGTCTTACAAATACAGCTATTGCAAATGATCACTTCTATTTTTACACTATTGTGCAGCTAAGCTTTTGACTGATCGTATTTCACTGTGGTGTGTTAAGCAACATGTTATGTTGCATTACATTTTCTTGACATGAAGGAAACTAATATGGAGACTGTGTGTCACATCACATTATGGTTTCATGTGACAGAATACAACCTTTCAAACCTCTCTGAATAAGCTCAAGGGCAGAACATTTACCAAGCAGCTCTTACAAATTTGCTTGCTTTTTACCTCTACAGCAATAATTAAGGAAGTGTTTCTAAAAAGCAAGTTTCCAATGATTACAAGTTTTTAAAAGTGAGAAATATACTGTCAACACATCCCTGACAGTGAGGCAGCATTTAAAATACAACTAAAGGATGCATTTACAGAGTGTCTGTGCAATTGTAATTTCAAGTCAGTCAAAAAATGACAACTTAGAAGAAATGGCTTCATTCTCAAGGGGTGACACTGGAAACAATCATGTTTCTCAAACTGACGTTGCTTTTTACTGAATGGTGCCTTTTCACAAGTGAACACTTTCTTTTTTTTTCTTTTTTTTTTTTTTTAAAGACAGCTTTTTGCCCAACACTTTTCTTGCTCATCAGAGTCCCAGCCTCCAGTTGCCAATCTCCTAAACAGCTTTATTGACTTCCATAGGGGCCTCCTGACTTCAGTGGTGGGTGCCTCACCACACAATTTGACTAACAACTGCTTCTGCCTTTGTGGCTTTACTTTTCAGAGTACAAATCTTAATTTTTATAACTTTATCTGTACATTTTTGGGGTGAATCTTCTCTAAAAGACCTTTTTTCTAAAGCAATTTGTTGATGATTGCAAATTCTGTCCTGATGCAAAGCCATTTGTCTTTCATCTTAGTTGAAGTATTCCAATATATATTTTCTTTTATCAATTTACTCTGGAAGTATCTCGGGGTGAGGAAGGGTGATGCTGGGAAATATCTGCTATTTAACAAATTCTGCTGAGGCATCATCTCTAAACCTAATGGGAAATTCTCATAATTCATTTTCAGGATTTGCTTTTTTTCCTGCTGATTTTCATTTATGGAGGAGTGTTATGAGCTCTTTACTTTATGTGATGGTAGCTAAATTTTGGTCTCACTCTCTTAGAGGAATCTTTCCCAATGTTTTCATGAAATCTTTATGTTTTTCTTCTTCTGCAATGTCTGTCTTCTTCTTCGTTTTTGACTCTTGTGCAATAGAAGTGAATATCCTGGCAAGTTGCTTGATACACTGAAAAGGCTTTGTGCTTGTTTTTTTCCCTGCTTTAGTACTATCTGTTGATTGATTTTAGTGTCCTTCCTCACCATCTGCTTTTCTGTTTTCACTTTGTGTTTGTTGTTTTTAATAGTGTTTACCATGTACAATGTGCCTGGTTGCACGGAGATAAATGAGAATTCATCTGTTCTCTCTTATGCAATGGAATTTAAGAAAAAAGGTCTAGTCATTCAATATTCTAAAAATGCCTTCTTTTATCTCAGATTTCAGCTTATGTTTCCATTAATGTCTCCTGACACTTTAACAGCATTAATTTTTTAGTTAGCTGCTCAAGACTTTTTGATCTTCCCCACAGTAAAAAGTGAAAAATAGCTGTTCACATTGGTCCCTGGATCTGCTTAGCAAGGGATCTGGAAACTCCTCCCATACCTCTGCTCTGACGGTCTTCATCAACGAACATTTCCTTGCATGTCTGGGGCCATTAGGACTCACAGTATGAGAATGCTCTGCATAGCTGCTGCACCTGCATTTCCCCTGGTAGCTCCACAGGAGGTTTTGTTTGGCTTCTCTCACACACTGTGCAAAATGATCAAAGGCCACTGGTCGGTTAAAAATGCATCTTGGATTTTACTCAAAGCGTAAAGCACTTTCTTCATCTCAGATCTTGCAGTCTGATCTCTCATACTTCAAAGATGATGGCTTATAATTGTCTTTATACATTTCATTGGCACCTGCTAAATATGAGTAACTGCAGCGTTTGCCCCTTCCATAACAATGGGTGGCTCCTCTAGGTAACCTGAGTGATTCACTATCTAACGCTTCCTCCATATGGCAAAGTCACAAAGCAAGTTCTGTGATACTGTGGGGGAAAAGCGTATGTTCTCTTCCACAGCTGCCTTAGGATCAGTTTACATACTTCAATAGGAACTGCATCAAATCCTGAGATCCTTACCCGGTTTCAGTATTGTCCTTATTAAGACAAACAATTAGTTTAGTGGTACAAAAACAAACAAACAACAACAAAAAAACATAACCACAATCACCAAAACAACTGCAACAACAAAACAAGCAACATGAACTAATAAAAAGCAATTCTAAATATTGAAGTAAATTCTAAGCTAGAAAACAGATTCTAAAATCTATTAAGTACTTTTTCCATTTAGTATAATACATTTACTGAGTAGTACAGAACCAACTAGTATTTCATTTTATGTTTTAAAATATTAACTTGTTCATTGATGGAATGTAAATGGCCAGAACTATTTTTGCCAAAGTAGCAGATGAAGACTGCAAATTTAAAAGCAGAAACATTTTGGAGAGCTGAAGTTTAAAAATTACTCATCAGTTGCACGTAAAGCTTAATGAGGTTCCCTCTGTTGTCAGTGAAAAGAAGCAGGCACTTCTCAAGTGTAATTCATCCCATCAGTCATCTAGGCTGGGCGGAGATGCCTATCTTACTCCACTGGCTGTAGAAGAAGCTGAGATGACTAACTTAGACAAGCTGCTTATCTTTTCAGCAACTAAAGATAATGGGTTGATTACTAGCTGTAGTACAGTGACTATCTGTGGAGTTTGGAGCATTACTTATACACTCCTTTGAAACAATCATTTACCAATCTTAAGATTTGTCACTGTTGAAAAAGAGTAATATCAATGCAACATGGCTGATTTGCTTTCTAAGTGTTATTGATATTATTTGTTTGAATACATGGTATTTTCACTGTGTGATGCCAAAATTCAGAAATCAGAATTATATTACAGGGATTAGTGTTCCAGTATTTAAATGAAATTTTGATAACTAATGTTTATTGTTTCTTTTTTTCTTTAATATATAGGAAACGTGTCTCAAAAACTCTTTTCCTTGTTGCCTTGTGGGGGACTTGGGGTAAGTAGATTTTTATTTATTTATTTTGCAAGAGGGAAAGCACACGGCACATATATTCATGAGCTCCATAGCACTGTTGCTGTATCAGTTCAAAGTCATGAGAAGTTGATGATGAATCTTGAGATAAAATCTGAGACACTATCATACCATTCTCAAAGACACAGAAAAAATACATTGTGATAAGCATATAGAGCAATTACACAGGAACATATTTTGTGAAAACATACATTTCTTAGTTGTCCTTTTTTTTTTTTTTTATGGGATCTATTTTTGAGAAAAGTAACAGAATGAACTTTGAAGACGTGAAAATAAATATAGCTTTGCATTATTCAGAGAAGAGAAAAAAATTATCAACACTAACATTTAGCATGATGAGAACTGCTCACTAGTTACTAGAAAATTCCTTGGGTTCTGTTAAACTAATAAATTAATTGAGCATTTTTTATGGCCTGTTTTGAAACAGATTCATTCTGAAATAATCTTGCAAGTGAGTATTAGAACTCAGTGAAAAAAATCTGTAATATGCATAAAATGCATAAAAAATGCATAAAAATGCATTGCAATAGTAGGTTATGAATTCATCCGCATTATTGAAAAACATTTAGAATGGAGCATATCTACTGATTCTGGCATCATGCATAGGTGGTTTTAGTTTTGTTTTTGTTTTTGTTTTCCTACATAGCAGTATTCTACATATCTGGTCCAGCTGCACCCATTATTTACGATTATTTTAATGTTAGCAATATCAAAATACTGATATTACTAGATATGGATGGGCTGCCTAGATGATGCACATAAGTTTAAGTTCCCTTGTTCCCTTGTGTTCCCTATACAGAAATAAAGCCACAATCTCTGGAGTGCAATTAGAACTATAGGTCAACTTCCAATGCAAACTTCTAATGTTTTATTTACTATTATCCTCTACAAAGGATAAGTTCTATGCCACAGTAGTCTTCCTTATAGTTGTTTGTTTATTATTATTATTATATCCCTGAAAAACAAAACATGTGTTGTAGGAACTTGACACAGAAAGATAATAATTTCAATTTAACTTTCAGAATTTAGTAATTTTGGAGGATTTATGAACTATGAGTTAAGGAACAAAGTATCGAGAAGTGGTAATCATTCAAGCTCCCCTACTATTTACACTTGTTGAGGATTCTGCCTAAAATTTGGAACTTAGTGATTAGCAACTTGCTGTATTTGAAACTTGGGGATCATTTCTGTATATGGACCGGCTAATGTTACACATAGACATGCACTTGCAAATGCACATCTGTGTGTACATATTCACACATGCCTATGCATACACACTTTTCTATATAAAAAGGTGAAATCAATTGTTATTAAGGTAGTTTCTCACAGTTATTGAATTTTATCAAGAAGTTTATGGAGAGTTGAACAAGAGATGAATGAAGTTGTGAAAGAATGTTGTTCAGACTTCTGAGCAAAGAGGAGGTGATGCAGAATTCCTTGACAATTCTTTCTGTGATCTTTGGAAAGTAAATATGACCATGATGGGCTTTGAAAATTAAATAAAATATTTTTCTATTAAACATGTTATTCAGGCATTAGTTTGTGTTAAAGTTAGTGTTAAAAATCATAAATAGAGATAGGCTTTGAAATCCTTTTAAATACTTTCAATAATAAAAGTATGCTGTCAATGCTAAAGTTAACATAAGTCAGAAATGCTCAGTATAACTTACCTTTTTAAATACTTAAATTTATCTGTACATTCTTGGGTCTATTTGCTTTATTTCTGATTTGGAATCATGGAAATTGGATTAAAGAACATGTTGTAGAAATCGATACTTTATTTATTTTTTTCTAGTTGGGTTTCCCTTTCTACATATTATTGTCAGGCTTGCTGTAGGGCTCTTCTAAGGGAATGGGTTGTGACCTTTTTCAAGGTAAATAATCAGATTAGGAACTCACTTTCAGTGATATTTGGCTGTCTATTGGTTAGGATGAGCTCTGGGAAAAGCTACTTCAAACTGTCTGGATGTAGCAATTCCTACATTTACTTTCAGAAAAGATGGTAGAAAGAAAGAAACATTGGTACTTTGTAGTTTTTAAATTAATTGAATAGCATTACTCAGTATGAAACAGTAATCAATGTAAAACAGTAAGATCAGGACATAGTTCATGAAAAGACTGTGAGAATAATTAAAATTTATTTTTTTCTTATCTTTTATTTAATTTCTTGCTTGCTTAATTGGTTACTTGTTCACTAAAGAATCCAGGGAGAAACAATATTTATAAAAAAAAAAAAAAAAAAAGAGACATCAGTTCTTGCAGAAGACCTTAAAGATTTTATGCCTCTCTCCTGAATGATGGTTTTCCAAGATCTTTTATTCTATTGTCTTCTAACCACATGCGGACCTTGCTGGCAGTTATTTTTCAGCCCTTCTGTTATTAAATACATTAGTAGTTATACTACTCACACAGGCAATGGTCACACCTAGGCTTATTCTTCTTCACTGCCAGGCTGGATTTAATATCAAAGTTCCCATTTCTTAAGCGATGCTGTTATCAATGTGGAAATCATAGTCTGGTTCTGGTTTGGGACCTTCATGCCACACACTGAAGCTGTGCCACTGTTGGAAAGAGCACCAGGCCATTAAGACAGAGCAAGGAGTAAGGGTGGTATATCTAAATGTACAATCTACCTAGCATAAATAATGTCAAGCCCTAGCTCCAAGCCTCTGTTCCACAAAGCTTATATATTTCACATGAAAGAATCACTGGACAAAATGTAAACTACTCTTGGAGTAAGGACTGAAATGTAGACTTCATAGGCATTGCAGACATGGTGAGCTGATGGGTTGTTAAGATTATTGGCATGAGTTTGGGATGGCTTGCATCGTTCCCACAGGACTTAAAGATCCAACCAACCTCTGTAACCCTGAATTCTGCTATATTATTGATTTTTTTGTTATCTCTGTCCCAACAACACCAATAAGCTGCAGTCAAGATGAGGGATCCTCTTCTTTCAATATCACAGTGACTGTAGTAAAAGAAAGCTCTTTCAAGCATCTTGCAAAGTAAACAAGAGGAAGCGTCCCTAACAAAGTTCCAATATTCTCTGATCCTTTTTCATCACAGCTCTGAATCTTATGCTTCAATACAAAATACATGTAAAGCTACTGTTTACTGATTTTTTAAGCATTTTAATTTGCTTTCAAGCAGTGATAGTGACTACTTAAGTCAGGGTTATTTTTGAATTTGGATAAGTATATGCCAGGCTTTCAGAAGAAAAATAAAGAATAAGAAACTACACAGCTAATAAATATCTCCCTATCTAACAGCCTTAAGGTTGTTACTCATACTGGCAACCAAACTGAGCAAGTTTCACAGAGGGAGAAAAAAAAGGCTTTATCTAACCTAAATTTTTCCATAACAGGATTTCTTGCATAAATTACATATACACTTTTTTTTTTTTTTTTAATCAGAGGACTATCCAGATTCAGCAACATAACATCTACTGAAGTATGGGACCTCTGTCTTTCAATAGTAGTTTTTATTCTTTTTTCAAGTTGAACATTGTACCTGGACCAACTATGGTTAAAAAGTTCTAATACTGTAGGGGTGTAATTCCTTGTGCTGGAGAGAGATTAGCAGCTCTATATCCAGTGGTTTTAATAATAAGAGATGGTTTCTTGCAGCTGGTCAGAGGTTTGGAATGTGAAAAGTTTTCCAGGAGGTGAGTAGATTGCAGGTGAAATGGCCAAATGGGGAGAATAATCACAAATTATTTTTGGTTCTGCAAATTATCAGACAATTCCACAATTTCTCTTCTGTGAATAGCCACTGGAGATATAACTGATCGTTTAATCATTCCATCCATCTATTGCGATTCCTTCCCTTCTGTTCTGCTGTGAAAATGATAAAATAATTAAAAAAAAAAAAAAGCAGAAATCTACTTTTAATGTGAGCACGTTTCATCTCCTTGCCTCAGTCTGTCACTAAAAATAGTGATTGTTTTCCTGCCTGTTTGACCTGCTGCTGTGTGAAGAAATCTTGAAGTCATTTCTCAGCCATATTTTTTTGCCTAGTTGATAGGCAAAAAAAAAAAAAAAAAACCCACAAAAGCAAAGAAGAGCAGGCTTTTATGATAATGTCATCATCGGCTCCCAGCTTCAAACACTTCTGCGGCTTTTGAATTGTCATTTATAACTTGGAACTGAACCGACCCATAATTCCCTTGATGCATTTAGAGAAATTGATAACAGACTGCTTCTTTTATGGCTCAGAGGAGGCAACTCCAATCACATCACTATTGGCAGTCAATATTATTTTCTGACATGGTTGTAAAAGTATAAAGGGGCTTATGGCATTTGTTTAGATGAGGAATGGGCTCTCAAGCTGTGCTGGGGTTTATGGGTCCAGATTACTTGAGAAGCAAAGGGAATATGATGTTTGCAAACAGGATATGATTTTATTTAAGTGTGGGTTTCATACGTTGTTCCCTGGGGATTGCCCTGCAGACAGAAGAGAATTTCACTTTTATCATATAAAATTGGGCAGTTATCCAATCCCCCCCTGCTCTTTCCCCCTCAAAGACACTGCTCCAAACCTGTAATGTGTAAAGTCAGAACTCTAAACTGCAAGAGGAGGAGCTATGGGAGAACACCACCCTGCAAGAAATTAGACTTTTGCAGAATAAATCTTTAGAAAGCTGAACAGAGTGGTTCATGCACTAAATGCTGAGCCATCTGAGTAGCTAAGAATGGCTTCTACATACTGGGAAAGTCCATTGCATTTTCTCTAATTTTGCTGTTGTGGCAGAACAGGAATGAGTTTTTCTTCTGGGATAAGCTGGTCTTGTTTCATTAACTGGAATATAACTTAGATCTTTTATACCAGAAAAGAATTTGACTTGTAACAATCAAAAAAGAAATATGAAGCTATAAAATCTCTCCATGTTTTTTCCAAATCCTACAAAATATTCGTAGCATCTCTCTAAATCTTCTGAATGTGGAGTTTCTCCCTAGCATTCC